AAAGTCATAGTATAACATGTCGAATAAAGTCATATTATAGCATGTCTAGCTTGCTCTTCATGCTTGTAAATAAAGTCAGAGAGGGCTGTAAGCTGCAAACAGCTGTTTGTATGCAACCCCCACAGTGAGCCTTGCAGCTATGGCCCCTTTGTTCTGAAGCATTCTATAGTCCATGTGATACAGAGTCATGTTTACAGCTACTAACAAAAAAAATAAAATGTATTTTTGTCATAGTCACGGTGTAGCAGTAAGCGTGACAGTAACTGCCTCTGGTGTTGGACCACCAGTCAGTGGAGTCCTGACACAGCTCACCTTCTTGTCCTTTGTAGAAACGACGGCCCGGCTGTTCTGGATTGTAGAAATGAATCAGCCCGAATCACCTAACCACATTAAAGGTTCTGGAATCTTTACTGTCATAACAATAATAATATGTGTTCAATTTTACACTTTGAAACTTTCCATGGTATTTTTATTATTTGATATTTTTGATATTTCAAGTACATATTTTTTTACTAAAGTAACATTTTAAATGCAGGGCTTTTATTTTTAAGACATTTTTTGTAAATCTCAAGTGTGTGAGATTTTTGTGAGAAATTATAAAGGTAAAAATAAAAAACGTTTTGAAATGCAGGTTTATCCTTTCAACCATTTAATTTAAGACTATTTTCTCCAGACTTGTTTAGTGAAAACACAGTAGGCTACATCCCCAGCATGCATTGTGTGTATAGTCTTTCACTAAGTACTCATCCACAGGTAACACTGGTTTCTTCTGACAATACCAGCAGGAAAAGTTGAGGAGCGGATGTTTTTTGTAGGATGTTAGTTTTCAGACTGTAAAAAGTGGACGGATCCAATAATACCCTCTGAAAGATTACGTCCTTGATATAAGGGCAAGTATATAAAGACAGAAAATAAGGTGACACTTTCAATGCATCATGTCTGTCTTCCCACAGCTCTTACTTCCCTCTTTAGGATTTGAGCCACACCGCAGAGACAGTAAAGAAGAAAAGGAACCATTTTAATGATTTATAAATGCCACATGTACCATTTTCACATCAATAAATGGCCCTTATTTGGAGTTGATAGCTGAGAAGATTGACACTGCTCTGCATTCATTTTGATTGAATACATTTAATTTGCTTTTAATTGCACAAATCGGCTGTTCAACGCAAGTTTCTTGCAAACACAGATGATTACAAGTCATAGGCAGACAGATAGATCTGGTAATTGAATTAGTGAGAGGAAGCTGTGAGTTCATGAGGCACAAAAAAGACCACCATCAATAGTGCTGGTTTGAGTTTTATCATCATTTGTTTCCTCATACCGAGACATTACAATCCATTTAAAGAGCATATACTGACCTTTAACACATATCACCTTTAAATCTAAGACGCAGTCAGAGCGGAGAACAGAACACCAGACCTCCTTTACCCTTCCACTCCCTCTCTACCTTCCTCTAACTCCTCCATCTTTCTCCTCCTCCTCTCTTCCTTTCTACAGTATGTGGAGCAGAATGACTAATGATCAGTTGCTCTGTCACACACAAGAGACTTTCTTTCCCTGCAGCCACATCCAAAATTAGCACACACACACACACAAATACACACGCAAATGTACACAGACAAACACCCAGATAGGTTCATGCATGCACACACAGAGACACACTTATAACACTATGAACAAAAGATAGATGTCCTCCTTGTATGGTTGTGTGTCCTAGAGACACTGTGCTGCAACAGAAAGGTCAAAGGTACAAAAGTTCTGCCTCTAGGAGAACTTCTTTCTTTCATTTTATGGGGCTTTGTGACACAGATATGAAGCTCAACCTCTGATCTGTGGTACAAATGTTCTACAGTGTCCATTTATACCCAAAGTCCTCCTCACGGCACGATCCTCCATGATGTTCTCTGAGCTGCAGCTCTCTCTGCTGGAAAGAAGCAGTTAATACATACTTTAATTCCACTTACTGATGATCCCTGCAGGATGAACTCTCATTTCTCTCGCCCCCTCCACAGCAAAGGCATTCAGACGGTTGCTCAAGGACACTTCAGCAGGGCAGGAGCTTGGTGTCATGGCACTGAGGATGAGAAACCTTGTTCTGCAACCGCAAACTTGCTGACTACATCTGGCTCTAAAACCTGCTGCTAATGTTTCATGCTTAACACGAACCCAGATCCCTCTAAGTAATACGATCATCAAACATTCATAAAATTGTCTGTATTTGTAAAAGCTTCAGAGAAAGAGAGAGAAAAAGAGGTGCAGATCTGTTCTGCTCACAGCTGTTCAAACAGGAAAGATCTGACTGACTAAATGATGTGTCTTCCTGCTTTCATACAGGCACAAAGGACCTCTGATCTCCTTCCGTATAAAAGATTAACAGCATAAATCGCAACAGCACAGCAGACACAGATGTAAACAACTTTATTAAGCTCTGACAACGGCACAATGCTGCACGGGCACAAGCAGACTGTTGTGAAACTGAAATCATATGATATAAAAAATTGTTTGCAATTTTGCACAGACTCTGATAAATAAGCAAGTTCGTGAAGATATTAGTCACATTTTTGATTAAGCAATGAGTATAATTTGTTACGGATAAATAGCGTCAGGAATCAAACATCAAGAGCTGAAAGGCCACAATTTTCTCCAAATCCAGGTTAACCTTTAGAACTCCTGCTGATATATATCGAGCTAAAGATAATCGTCCTCCTGAAACAAGGCAGGTCTTTTCATCAATCATTCTGTTAACATGCACATATTTAGCAATAATCTACATTAGACACTGCACAAATAAGGCTGCATTTCAATAGTTTAATAGTGATCCAGACTAAGAATTAGTCTGGATCACTATTAAACTATTCTGTTTCGCAAATATCATCTGCAAAATATCTTATGTTACAGTAGATACATATGTACAGCGTAATGTCTGCATTTGCACCACCCTGGTGTTTCACAGTGTGCAGTTACATGGGTGTTCAGCACGACGTGGGTTCTAAATAAATTCTTCGCTGTCAGTTGGGAGGAAAATGACGAATATAATATAAAAATAGGAAGTCACATGGCAGCTGACAGATATTAGACCTTGAGGATGAGGTGAAATGCAGGATTAAAAGGTTCTATCCCCAGTTTTTTTATGTCTTTGTTTGCGGCTGGAGATTGAATGTCGTCCCCAGAAGTGGAGTAACCGTCATCCCATCATGAGTATCTTTACTTTTCTGCTAGTTTACTCTAATCCAAATATTCTGTCTGCCTCTTCCTTTCATATCCACACTTCTTTCTTGTCACAGTGACTTTGTCAGAGCACTCCCTGTGGTCGGCTGACCCTAACCCTTATTCTACTGTTAAACTAAGTCAGTCTGGACAAAAGTGTCAGCAAATGTCAAAAATATGTTCGATATTAATTACAATCATCATATACAAACAGGTACATACCTGGAATTTGACCTCTGCATTTACCCCACCCTAAGTATTAGGAGCAGTGGACTCGGGGAGCTACTTGGGGTTCAGTGTCTCCTCAAAGATATTTCAACATGCGGACAGTAAGAGGTCAAAGGGCAACCCGCTCTACCTTCTGAGCCACAGCCTACGCCATATGTTCTGAAACGATAGATAATTCATCAGAAAGAAACTGAGTGAGCATACAGTCTTTCTTAGAGTAGCTAATTAATAAGACTGAAGTGTCAGATCAAAGTGTCATTAAGGGACTCGTTTAATGCTCAGTGTCTACAGTGCAGCTTCACCTGTTCATTTCACTGGCAGATCACCATGTTGCTGATTTAAAAGAAAAAACTTTAACTTGTTTTATAAGATAACTTACTTAGAATATCTTACTAATTTACTCATTTTACATAAAAAAGTCATTAAGCAAAAGCCAATAAAATAATCGTCCATTTATTAATCTTGGAGGAATAGTTTGTCATTTTGGGACACATACGCTTATTCGCTGTCTTGCAGAGAGTGATACCACTCTCGCATTGGTGCACTAAATAAAAAGCTGGAGCCAGTAGCCGGTTAGCTTAGCTTAGCGTAAAGAGTGTAAACATGGGGGAAACAGCTAGCCTGGCTCTGTTCAAAGGTAACAAAATCGACCTACTTAATTATCTAACTGATCGGCACTAACCACCAAAGAGTAAAAAACGACAATTTGCCGTTTTACTTTCTTATGTCCTGTTTTATGTGCTGAAGGCAAAAAGAGTAAAATGTTGAATTGTCATTTTTTACAAGATGTAGGTGGATTTTGTTACCTTTGGATGGTGCCAGGCTTTGTTTGTTTTGCTGTGTCTTAATGATAAGCCAAGCTAACAGGCTGCTGGCTGTAGTACAACAGAGAGTGGTATCAATCGTCTCATCTAACTCGCCTCAAAAAAAGTGAATAAGTCTATTTCCCAAAATGTCAAACGTTGAAAGAAATATGTGTTTAACATGCAACTCTTTGAAACGTGGGATCTCCCGTCTCTGGAATGCCCCTAAGGTTTCTGCCAGAGAGAGACAGAGAAGGAAAGAGACTTTTCATGTCCTTTAACGACACATCTGACCAAAAATAACTAAAAAACACCTTCAAACCGAACAGCTCTGTGAGGAGAGGCCTCAGGCAATGTGACACCGTCAGCACAGTGGGACATGCATACAGTAATGAGGTGAGCTCCCAAATGGCACCCTACCGTTCTTCAAACAGCTCTGACATTAGGCTCCATTTAAGCCGTCACCTACATAATGTAGTGCGCTTCATGACTTTCGACACTGAGGCGATGTTTTCTTCATAATGTATAAAGTCTGAACCCTGCAGAGATCCTCTTATCACTGAAATATTCATCAAATGCAGCAGGATACGCAGGGGAAGAAGCTGGGGGTCTGAAAACATAAAGGAAACAGGTGTTCTACGAATTAAAGCTACGAAAAATATGAATCTGATCTTTTCTAGTGGCTTTTGTATGAAAAAATAAGAGCTCTTAAAATCATGAGTGCATTTCATTCTATATATTTACAACTTTCATCCTGTTAAACTGTCCACAGAATTACATTCTCTCTTTTCTCAGGTCCTAACACTGATCAGAAACAGGCAGACTTTTTGGCACATATATGTTTTCCCCCAAAATATCCCACATCATTACACAGATGTTACACACAGACACCGTTCATATGGACAGAGAGGGGACACAAACTGCAAGACACAGCTATCATCATGCTACCTCATCTGGTACATTTATACCAACACTTTGTTCTCTTTCCATCCATCAGAGGGAACAAGAAGTGATGTGGAACCCAAACCAAACAGATGGAAATTCTTCTTTTTCTTTTAGCATTATTGTAAATAAACAGAACAGAGAACAGCAGCTGCTAATGCACATAATCATAATAACTCCATATAGTTTTAACATTATTCTTTTTTTTCCAGATATACTTTATAAGGCTGATAAGAATAATGTTCTTCATCATTGAAAATAAATACAACTGACACTTTTGTAATTCAGATTCTGAGTGGAGACAAACCAGATGGACTGGGACGATCTCAGTACATTTTGGTGGGGGAAGTCAATTGAGATAAAGTCCAGTTGACGCGTCTACTGTTGACAAAAAGGATGGATTTTTGTTGAATTGAAATAACTTAACAACTCAGAGGAAATCAAGTGTTGACAGCATCGTGTATGTCATTAATTAGAAAACTGTAATTCCTTATAAGGCACAGTAAAATAAAAATAAAAACTGATTCTCCAAGTTCTATTTCTGTGTTGCAATGTCAACAGTTATCACTTCTTCTGCGCTCAATACTGTACATGTGAAAAATATCATTTTGGAGAATTTTATATCAAATCTTTGCTCTTCCTATAAATGATTAGAATATGTTTGATGACTCTTGAACTCAAGTGGACTTAAACATATCCAATCAGATGTGATTTGGGGCGACTGGATTTCCGTCTCATAATTCCACATAGCTATTCGATTATACTCGCACATATGTCACACTACAGGAGCTTCTGTTTCACTGTGAAGTAAATCGGGCCTATAAGTTGCTCTTGTTGTAGTTTTTAAAATGGTGCAGTCAGAGGTTGTCAGGGATTATAATTAGGAAACAGCTGGAAAACAACTGGTCCAGAAAAATCCTCAGTGGCATCGTCTCTCTACTCTGAATATCAACAATGTGAAATGTGACACATGGTCTCCTCGAAAACTGTGAACCGTTCGTTCCCTGCAGCGAAAAACCACTTGACTTTACACGGTACAAATGTCAGCCGGTCTGTTAGCACACACATGCAGACGATAACTTCACTGTGAGACACTCTAAGGGCTTCTGTTGACAGATGTCCAGCTCCTGTTCTTCACCTCCCGGGAAAAGTTCATCACAGCAGAGACAGCCGTGACATTTGATGGTCAGTGGACCACCAGGCTGGAGAATGACAAGGTGGAGAAATGGGCTACGTTTTTACGGTTTAACATCATTTCCTCCATTTTTTTGTATCTTATTCCACTTTGTTTATCCAGTGAGCCACATTGAAGCACGATCTGGACAAAGAATACATCTCTCAGAGTATGAACATTTAAAGAGTTCTTTACGGATGTCTTTTCGTCCTCCACAGCTGGACTCGAGTCCACCAGTCTACGCTGCTTCTCCTGGCCAGGATCTTGTGTTTGGAAAAGGCTGCGAGTGTGTGTGCATGTATTTGTGTTTATATCCGTGAGTGTGTTTTATTGTGTGTGTGTGGACATTCAGTACCCGGTAGCGTTGGCATGTGTGTGCATGTTGAGTGCGTTGACGTGTGTTCCTGGTCCTGGGGCAGCGAAGCTGTAAGCTGCGTACGCCACGGCGGAGCCCACCATCAGGCCGGTCATATAGGAGACTGTCATGGTGTTCCCTGGAGGGACACAGAAAGAGGGAAGCTTTGTTTATAACCGCCCTTGGCACCGTAGCGCAAGCCTCCGCAGATGGACCACGAGCTATGAGGATGCACAAGAGTGTTTATGCTGAACTTGCTGTTCGTTGCATTACTCTCTGAAACGCCAGAGGGTGTCCAAACAAAATGTACTGTTAAGAAGCAAGAAGTCAACAAGTGCTACCGGCAAAATGCCTTAAACCAACCTCCACAATACTAAGGAGGAATTGTAAACGTATATCTCACATTCATGGACTACAGTATTTCCTTTATACAAGCCCTGTAAAGAAGTCAAGTGTTAAATGCATTATAAAGAGCTGCTACAGAGTGAAGCTCACACTGACACCTCCGGCACAGTTATCGATAAGACAGTAAGAATCAAGACTAAAAGTCTACAGCCACGTTAGCAGCTCTGCTTTTTAGCCAAATGCTAATGTACTGACAACAACAACATGCTGATGTTTAGCAGGTATAATGTGCATTATCTTAGTTTAGCATGTTAGCATGCTACTTCAGTGCATACTAAACTAATGGTTGTTAATTATAAACTTGACATTTTGAAAAATATGCTAATTTGCTTTCTATTTGAGGGTCATACGAGAAGATTGATATCACTCTCATGTCTGCATGCTAAATATTAAGCTGCAGCCAGCAGCTAATTAGCTTAGCTTAGCATAAAGTAACAATCTACCTTCTAGCACTTTAACTCACCTGCCAACTCCCTCTGTTCGGGCGGCACTTTGCCCGCAGCCTGGATCATCGGCACAGACCCGAAGTAGCCGTTGGTGACTCCCATGAGGAGGGAGAAGAGACAGGGCCAGGCGGGGTGGGACAGGGTGGGCGCGTTGGCCGGGTACACGCACATGACAAACAGAGGGATGAAGACCACCCTCAGGCAGGAGAAGAAGAGCAGGCGGCCTCCGGACCAGTCGTACGGCAGCGCTGCAAGGATCTGAGGACAGAGCAGGGAAATGTTTCAAAGACGCTGGGGGTTAAAGTCTAGTCTTAAAAATGATAGTTTCTACAGAACAGGGACTAACCTATCTCAGCCATTCGTTGACTGGCTGCTTATTGCACTTTCAAGAGAGCACAATAAGTAACTCAGTTTTTTCTACTCTATTCTTTCGATATAATTTATCTTCGCCAGCCTTATCTTTTACTCCCCAATTTCAACAAAATGCTAAATTTGCTGCGAAGACAAAGTCAAAATCAGAACAACTTTCAAAGTTAAAATGATGACTTGAGGACATCAGATAAGGTTTAATTTCTGAATATTTGAATAAAGCCTTTGAGCTAAGTGCAATTATCCAAAAATAAACCAGACTTTTTTCCATTCTTTCTCTCAGGTTTAATAAATGGAGCGACTCCTTTAACAATTTCACAAGGTCAATTCCAGTGTTGCAGTGTTCCTTCGTCTCTTTCCTGCTGCTGTTGTGCAGAGAAGCCTGATGGAACCCTACAATTAAATCCCAGAATCTCAAGAGGTGTGAAATCAGAGATTGCCAAGAGCTAAGTGAATTTTAGAACATAAATGATGAGGTTACAGAAAGAAATTATGAATGCTGGTATCCCAGTCCATCAAGTGTATTTTAGGGCAAGGGCATATTTCTCCCTGGGGATTATTCATATTTGATATTTTACAGTTTCAGTTTGATTCATTAAACTCTGTTTATGAGAAAAGCACCGACAACGGTGTTTTCAGTTGTTCCGGCTGATTAAAGCTCTGGTAAGGTGGAAGTTTGGCGAAACTACGCTGGAAATTATTTTATGTCACCAGTCACAATTCAAAAAGTAAGTTATATTTTCTAGAAAGATAACATTTCAGAATGAAAATGGCCTTGACATCGTGTGAGATATGTGACATAATAGTTCAATGTTACCGTATTTTCTCTGAAGCATCACCGCATCATTTAAAAGAATGTGCGTCTCACCTTGCCAACGAAGTCCGACATGTTGAAGGTGGCCATGATGAGGATGGGCAGCCACTCTCCTAAGGTGGCGTTTCGTATTTCTGACTCCAGCCCGGGAAACAGGCACAAGGTGATGCTGTAGGTCACCGCTATAGACAGCATGTAGGCCCAGATCACACGGGACACCACGTAACGATGCAAGACCATGTCTGCATAGAGAAGACACACACGGACACACAGGGTGATATTTAAAGGCTCTCGCTTGAACAGTTTAATCCTCTACGAATATTCTCCTCTTCCCATGAATGCATTTAAAGTTCAAGTCCATCTATTGGAGCCAGAGGGTAATTGAGCAGCGAGTACACGGGATTAAAAGAGAGCGTACCGCGGACACCAGGCCAGCTCCTCCTTATCTTGGCTTTTGGGGCATCGAATCGCACGTAAGTCCCTCCCTCAAAGTCCTCAATGACTTCCTCTGAAGGCGTCGGTGCTGTCCCACCATTTCCCTGAAGAGACACAGACCGTTTATTCAATGCTTTAATAAAACAAACGCATGACGGGCAGAAAAACATTTGAGGCCAGTCATCGACATTACATCAACAATTTAATTCCAAACTGAAATAGAAAACACATGACCCCTTTAATGATCAATCATCAAATTACTCGGCAAACGTCCTCATCTTGTTCCTCATTTCCCCGAAAAAAAAAAGTCAAGGCGTCAACAGTTCATTAAGAAAACACTAGAGGTAGCCATCACCCCGTAAATACACATATTATTGTGCAGTGGTTTAGTAGACCGGCCTCCTGGCTGCATGACATCAGCTTTTTATGGCAGCGAGTAATAAAGATGATCACTGTGAGTGGCTGCAGGTTGACGTAATGATAATGGAGAGACTACAGATTGGACTGCAAATACGCCCCAGACACACACACACACACACACACACACACACACACACACAGTCTACAAACATACAGTTCCTCTTTATCCAAACATATAAGCACATCCTTCTCTTCATGCTTCTTAATAAACACACACCTTTTCATATGCACACAGGCCCGCGCGCGCACACACACACACACGCAGATCCATTAGTTGATTGGAGGGACTTGCGGGCCAGAAGGCACCACTCTTCTTGATTATCCCTTAGCATAGAGCGCTCAGTATCCCCAGGCAACCAGAACAAAGAGCTGCCTGAATCAGCCCCCAGATGCAGAAAATTACACACACACACATTTGTATTGCGCGTAATGGTGGACAAACACACGCACACATGAAAAGATGACAGCCTGAGGTGATGCATCTTCCTTTGAAGGCTCAGAACATGAACACACACACACACACACACACACACAAGGAATATCAGCTCCATGTCTTCAGGCTACAAAGTGCTGCTTCAAGCATGAATACTAAGTGGATGTACCTCTTCTTCTTTCATTTCTCACTCATATTTTCTCAGTTGTGTTTCCCCCCCTAGTGTCTCATCTCTTTGCCTCAACAGTTTTCTCCAACAACCTTTTTCCTCTGTGTCGTGACTCTCATTTTCTTTCTGTTCACAACCTCTCCCTTTCTCTCTAAAATTGCATCTTTGCTCATCTTTTTTTCCGCATCACCACTTTCATCCCTAATAACCTCTCCCAAAATCCCTTTCTCTTTCTCTCTCAATATTTCCCTTTCTGAGTGGCAGCCGAAAAGCAGCCCAGCGCAGCTTAAATAAATGATACTGCATTTTAAAACCCACACAGCCCTCCATCCCTGCGTGCACACTCCCACTGAAGAAGCGACACACACACACACACTCCTCACAGAAATCGACAAGGACACGGGACCACAGTTTAGAGGCCTAACGGTTCCTCCCCATCTTGCTGTTGCAACATTTATGAAGGATTAAATGAAAATGAATGAATGAATAGACTAAACTTTAATAAGAAAATGTCACAAAATAACACAAACGTGAGCCTCATGGTGGTGCTAGAGGAGAAGTCACCAAAGTCAGGAGGAGGTATGGTGAACGTCTCGGCACTATTTCACGGCTCTATTAAATGAGAGATTAGCTGACAGACCAGCGGACCAACACAATGCTACTAACACAATATATTCACAGTATGCATACACGCGGTAGAGCCGATAGTCTGTCCACAAACTTACAAATCTTACTTCCTCTGCGGTGACATCGTGGTGAACTCGGTATCCTGTCCCGCTGTCGTGCGGGTCGTGTCCTTTGACCGGACCTTTGCCTTGGGCGTGGTTGGTGTAGTAGCGGACAAACTGAGAGCGGCGGACCAGCAGGTGGAGCAGGAAGCAGAGCATCTCCATGCTGATGGAGACGAGGAAGAAGATGAGCGTGTTCCTCCTCTCGTCGGGGATCAGCAGCTTGGTGAAGATGCGCGACAGGGAGATGATCACACCTGCTGTACCTGGAAGGAACAAAGGGAGACGTAGCCAGAGAAAAGACAAAGGAATGGGGGGCAAGGGAGGTGACAGCAGGGATATGGATGTGCGATGTATCTGTGTGAGTGTACTTACTCTCTCCAGTCATCACCCCCTGTGTGTACCTCTTGGGCAGCATCCCCATGTAACCATAGAAACTAGACTGCTGCACTGGGGAGGGATGAGGAAGTGTTTATCAGTGCAAACAGTCAACATTGAAACAACACGATTCATTTAGAGGCACAACTTCCTGAACGTTTACACACCACTCGAGGGAGAAGCCACTCTGACCTCCGCACTGCCGCTAATTAAAGTCTTTCTACTGTTGGCTGAAAGGCTCCGTGATCACACTTACAGTATAAGGAAACTGGATCAGTGTATCAGGTTCCTGAGCAGCAGCTGAGAACTGAAACCTCTACTGCCGCGTGTTCATTTGACAGCTCTGACTGAGCACCAGTTTTTTATTACTCTCTACATGATAAACAGGAGGTGGACTTTAGAACATCATGAACACTTTAACTTTAGCTATTAAAGAGAAACAGTCTCAACATTCTCTAAACTGTTTCATGGGACAACACAACTCCATTGTTTGTCTGCAAAAGGTAGTAAATCACCCAAAACATTTCATTCATGCTTCAAAACCAGTTATTGTGTCAGTAAATGAAAAGTCATCGTGATCATGATGCTGAGAGGTTTTTTTCAGTATGGCAGTCAACCCAGGAAATGTTTGAGTCTCTGTTTAGTTCTACTCTTTGTTGACACTGACTGCTTGCTGTACTGAACAAGACGTTTTGTTGAGCTGAATGCTGTCGTGTATCGCTCTGAGCTTTTTAGAATTTTAGAAATATGTGGATCTTTAGCTGCTGAACGCTCCACTGTGGTCACCAGCTAGTCGCTAACTGTGTCTGTCAGCTGTTTGTTTGGTGCTGGGCCGGTAGAGCACAGCGGGTTTTTACAGCTTTTTAGCTGAGAAACAGTTGCCTGCTGTGGCCGACAAACGAGTTGAGTTGCAAGAGTCAAATAAAGCAGTAAAGCTGCATCCTGGAGAACTCAAATAATGAGCCGAGAGTCGCTAAAATGTGGATCTTTGAGGAACAGCAGAGTCATAACTCCCTGTTGTTGTTGTTGTTTTTCATTACACATCTGACCCTTGAGTGCAGCTTTAAGGAATGCCCTGTACTGCATATATACCGTGTATATATATATATATATATATATATATAGTATGGAAACATGGATGGACAGACAGACAGACAGGCAGATAGATAGATACCTGTACATCCAAAGGCCACCACTCCCACTGACACGAGGTTGACGATGTAAGCCTGCCTGGTGGTGAACTTGGCCAGCCACACATCAAACACACTGACAAAGACCAGCGGCCCCAGAGCAAATATGTAACCTGCAAAGAAAGAGAAAGACAGACGAGTGAAGGTCACGTTGCGATGGCATGACTGAACACATACTTGACAGGGCCGACGTGAGAGCAGTATCGCTTCCATCTGAGGTCCGATCCTGAGTTTGTAAACTCCAGAGAAAGCTCTCCAGCCGACAACACACTTCAAAAGACGTTTCCTCAAGGATGAGAGCAGAGCTATTTAAAGCTGCAGAGGGTACGCTGGTGAAACCTTGCTCTTACATGCAACGTATGTGTAATGATTTCAAAATGATCCTAGGGACATACATTTTTAAAGATTTTTTATTTTCATATGGGGTAGGCTGAATAGCTTTAATATTTGCAAAGATGTGTACTAGATTTAAAAAACTGCTTTTTAATGAATAATTTGGAGCTCTCCAGTATCCGGCTTCGTCTTCGACAAACTTGATGCAAAGTCTGCCTCACTGTGCATGCTTGTATCTGAATAGTCTACTTAAATAGCACAGTGAGTTTGTTTACTGTTTTGAAAGCTGACAGCAAAACTAAAGATGATGCAAGATTTTAAAGAAGCTAAAAGCAAAACAAAAAAAATACCCACACTCTTGAAAGACGACCCCCCTTGAGAGTTCATAGTCTTGGGCAAAGTTTGTTTGAAAGAGTTTATCAACAAAACCCACAGGACAATTGTGGCGGAGTGTATTTTTCTCTTTCTCTTTATACTGTCTTCTCCATTTGCGCTCTGCGTATTCTGTTCTGATAAGCCTGGAGGGTCCCAGAGGGTCATTAATGAAAGAGTAACAGCAGAAGTTCCCATCATGGGGAATGTTTCACAATGTGAGCGGGCTCCTGCTGGACTTACCCACAGTGATTCTGGTGTGCAAGCTGAGTCTCTCCACCAGCACGTTGTTGAGGATGACGGCCAGCAGAGCCACCATGATGTACGTCAGACTCATGTCGAACACTATGGACGTCCCTGAAACACACACACACACACACACACACACACACACACACACACGTGACTCGTGGGAGCTGGATTTGAATGTGCACTCTCCGGGTGTGCACGTGTCTGTAGAACTCATGCATTCTCTGAAAAGGTGCAGTTATCCAAGAACATTCACGGGTTTCTTCATGCACATTTATACCTTCAAACTTGTGGTGCAGGTAGTCCACGTCAGTGATGAAACTGTTGTAGGGGAGCAGGAAACCCACGCCAGCCAATAGCATTGCAAAGTAGATGCCATGGTAACGGTCGTCAGGGATCGGCTCCTCAAAGTCTGAGGGGGAAGAACGGAGTCAAGGGTTAGAGAATCACAAGAGTATGACATCACACTCAAACTGTGGGGATAAGAATGACTTCAAAACTTCTTAATTAGGTCTGGAGCCCACAGCTCGATCTTCATTAAAGCTAATCGGGATGAATGAAGCTGTAGCAGCAGCAGTAACGCCTCCGCTCCAATGACGGAGCAGCTGATGCAGCAGAGGACCTCCTTCCTGTTGCGTCAGAGATCGATCGGAGGAACTGCTGATCGTAGACCAGCTGAGTAGTTTCAGCTAAAAATTGGATTTTGTGTTTTGCTGCTGATTCTGTTTCATGGTTAAAGTGTGACGTGCAGGTTCTTTATACCACGGTTCATAATCCTGTGAGCCTGCTGTTAACTGCTCCAAACCATTTTTGAGCGTTTTTATTTTATAGCTGAATAAAGAAAAGAAAAAATGATGCATTTCACTTCTTAATGTTTAATGGAATTTGTTATAATGGTACCTGGGACTGATCAATTATTTTCCTGAGGATGAACTTGATTCCTCAGTAATGAATGTTATTTTCTTGTAATTAAATGCCTATTTCAATAACATACAGTTCCTAAAAGATTTTCCATTTCTGCTGTTCTGACTGTTCTTGTTGTTTCTGGGTGAAAAAAAACAACCCTGGCATTAGCTGTGTAGTGAGCAGTGAACATCACCACGGCTGCACTGACAGAAGAAAAGATCACCGCCTGCAGAAACTCAAACCTCATTAACAGAAAATCCACTAAAGAAAACCACAGCACCGCCCTCACTGTGTAACGGACATTTCAGTGCAGAGCCTGACATGACAAACCTTTCTGACATATTCTGGGACTGTGTGAAGATGCTTTGGGTGGTGACGGAGGTGGACTTTGTATAAAAGCAGGACAATCTCTGTGGTTATTGATGTTTTTTTGAACCCTCCTCTTGACACACACACAGCAAAGAGTGTTAAACTGGTACAACTTGTTTGATAGTGCACCCAATTTAAACCCTAATATCTTAATGGAACATCTAATGTAGGCCACCGGCACACTCACACATGAATAAAAACCCTGATACAGAGAAAGACCTGCCGTCCTCGGCATACGGCAAAGTCCATCATTATGAAACATGACTGCTGGAATAAAACCACAATTTAGGCTGGAAAGTAAAAGACCCTCTCCTGCTCTCCCCAAAAATGCCAGAAAGCTCTAACTAAAAGAAAAATACCCCCCCCTCCTTTTCTGACCCCCTCTATCCCGCTTATACTTTTCCTAAACTACAGATTACAGATTGTAGAGCAGCTGATGAACTTTAATGACGAGGATTAATTCAGTCTTTGAGTCTGTCTTTCAAAACCTTTGTTTCTCTCTCTTTCTTCTTTAAGGGAAGCGACAGACTGCATACTTATATTTTGTTAGCTGTGAGATATTGAGACTGACAAGAGGCAAAGGATGAAGAGAGAAGAGGGAGAGCTGTCTGAAAATCTAGGTCCCTCGCTGTAGGCCGTGTCCTTGGTCACTTGTGATCTGATTAACGTGCCCTTTGTGCAACCTGAGTAACCAGGCAACACAGCAATGTTCTCTGAACAGGCCTGCATCCCGTTTGTTTTTTACACATTTCCTCTCTCTGTCACTGTTTTTATTCCCTCAGCCTCCACCATCATCTGCAAACACAAGCACACACACACACACACACACACACACACACGGCAGAAAGCATGTCTTTCACTCAGTCTTAGAGTGGTGACTGGTTATCAGTGCAGTTTGTTTGTTTCAGGAATGATTTTAAAGTGTAACGGAAATTTGAATACTTCTCACTTTTAGGAAATATAAACTGTCATGATACCGTAGCTTGTGCATAATTCAACAGAGGATAAAAACCTTTCTAACAGTGGCTTCCAGCCTCTGGGTGGGTGTTTCCGGTGGCAGCGGGTGATTGACATGTAGCGTGGGTGTTGCTAGATGATGCACGTTTTTTTTTGTCTTTTATCAACAAGCCATCTGTCCCTGGTCACTCAGCAAGCTGCAGCTAACTAGGCTAACTAGCTTCCACGTGGAAAGTTGAAGCTAGTTGTGTAATGTTAGCACCGTTAGCTTAGATGTTAGTCATAAGCGGCTTCTGCACTGCGTTCGTACAAAGGAGGGCCGCTAGCTTGGGTTAGCCGTTTCTTTTTCATGGGTCCATGAGTCACATAAAATGTCTTCTCTTTTGCGATCACAATTGTCACCAAATAAATATAAACACCAAGGATACAGTATATAGGCTAAACTAATTGCTTAGCATTAATTATCTTAATTTTAGTTTGACTTCAATAGACTATAAAATATAATAATAGAAATTAAACAAGACTGGATAAGATTGCTAAAATAAGACAACTGCACTAGTGTAAAGAATGTATCTATCCATCTACTTCTCTTCCCGTTCTTCCTCTTTTGTTTCTCAGGAAATATAATTAATATATTTTACAAACAGGCAAAGGCAAGGGGCAGTTTGCCATCAGACTGTATAATCTCCATTGCAAAAAAGGGTGTTATTCGCATATAACAATTAACTTTAGTGCAGAATCACCATCATCTCACCATTCCCTGGAGTTGTTGGGGGACCCTGGCAGTAACTGTGGATATTACTATGTATGTTCATGATATTCTGTCCACCACCGGTATATACACACATAAAGAATATAATGTGAAAATGTGCTGCTGGTGCTCCACTAAGCATACTGTGAGACAGAAAAGAACACACTTTGTTGTTCCTGGTATTTTGGAGTAGAAGACAGATATTCCTTGTTGCTTGTCTATCTATTTATAAGACCAGTACACACACAAACACACAGACACACAGACACACACACACACACACAGATAGACAGAATGTAAACTCCCTCACCGGGCTCGGACAGCGCCAGCACTCCTCGCTCCGGGGCGTCTTTACTAATCTCCTCCTCCTCCAGCTGGTACGAGTCGAAACTGTAGCTCTGCACCACGCCGCTCTCTCTGCCCTCCCTCCAGACCTCCCTCCCTCCATCCCGCCATCCAGCTCTTCCTCCATCCCTCCACACATCCCTCTCCTCGGGCATCTGGACCGGTGTGGGCCTGCGGCGCTCCGCTCCCACCGAGCCCATCTCTGTGCTTCAAGTAGCACACACACACACACACACACACACACACACACACACACACACACAC